AGATGGAAGGAATGTCTATATACAATGCAGTGATATTTTTGTTTTCAATTAAGGGTTAACTTTCTCGGTTTAACCAAAACGTCAATTCTTCAATCTAATCATGAACTGCCTAAAAAGTGCGATTTAAATTCAAAGAACCTATTCTACATGTGCGAGCGGAATGTAGTGGATGTAGAATTGCATTAACTAACTATTTTTGGTTCAAGGAACGAACTCTGTTGCGATCAGAGATCCTAAATCCCACGTACAAATCAGATCTGGAGGGAAACATAAAAATGATGAATAGGTGGCTAAATACTCAAAACAAATAATTGGGGAGAACCTAACTGCCATCCTATATGAGAAAGTTCAACCCAAATATCAACTGAAAAATTTAAATTGGCAAAAGGATAATAACGTAGTAACATGTGCAAAGCCTGATAGAATGCAATTGTTACGGCTAGTGCTGTCACCTAGAATGGGTGAATAGGTATTTTTACCAAATTGAATGATTTAAACGTACGGAATGAATTTAGTCAAGATCAACAACTTGTATGGTCAATATCAGATTGATGTATATCACAAACTTGTATATGAATTGTCGTCATATGATTGCGTCTGATGACTAAGATGATGTTCTAACGAAGTTGTTTGACAGATATGTATGCAGTATAATGTCAGCAATAATAAATAAAAATTTAGGGATAGAGAATACTGCACACAGATCTTTATAGTGGTTCGGCTTTATTGAGCCTACGTCCACTCTCCACGGCAACCTGTTGGCTGTGTTTCATTATTGAATTACCAGAAGATTATAAGAGCAGTGCTTCTCAGATGATAGACTACACTATCACGTACACTTCTCACTCAAGTAATTTTCTTTCTAAAGTCACAATGTGGAAAACAGTAATCACAAGTGTATAAGATCGAAGCTCTATTCAGACTTTGGAATTCTTGATTCTGGTTCTTGTTTTCTTATACGACGTTTGCACTCCTTTTATACTCCTCCATTTCCAATTTATCAGTTGATAAATCTTCAGAGGACTGATCTCCAAATTAAACCGTTGGAGAAACTTTTCAAAAGAAAATGCATAGCCGTTAGAAAAAGAACCATTATCTCCGAGTGATTTGATTGCCCGTACAATCAAATCAAGGTTTCCATAAGTGTAGTTCTTCGTGTTTAAGGAATGATTTTGCGATTACCAATTAGAATATCTTGAAATATCAATTTGATTATCGTGCATACACTTGCCAAAAATAACACTCAATGAATCTGACGAGTAATTTTGAGTCTGATGACAAAGTCCTTTCATTGACTAAGTCTGATGACTCACCATTTACCTACATCAAATAACTTAAGTGTGATTCTGGTCAGTAATAGATAGTTTTGTCATTCCTCAAAACTCATTAGGAATTTTTCTCAACAGCAACTAGAATAAGGGGGAGAAGGACACTAGAAGTGCCAAAAGTTATATAGCTCACTTTAGTGCAAAAAGTTTTTTTTGGATTACTTAAGTGCCACTTTTTAAAAAAAAACGATCACTTAAGTGCCAACTCTAATCTAGGTCGCCGGAAATTCAACGTGGCAATATTTTATTAAATTTTTAGTCCTACGTGGCTTGCTGACGTGTCCAGTCAGCATATAACGCATAAACGACGTTGTCTAAAAGTTGTAAATAATGATCATTTAAGTGCCAAATTTTGTTTAAAGTAATCATTTCAGTGCCGGTCATTGTTAAAAAAACGATCACTTCAGTGCTAGTCGGATTGTACAACGTCGTTTTGGATGTCCACGTGGATTGGATTTTTTAAAAAAAATATGCCAAGTCATATTAAAAATTTTAATTATAAATGCCACGTAATCAATTTGGCCGGAATTATCACTTAAGTGATCACTTTTTCTCTAATTTGGCACTTAAGTGATCATTTTTTATCCGATTTGGTACTTAAGTGATCCAAAAAAAACTTTCGGCAGTAAAGTGAATACCGTACACAACCTTTGGCACTTCTAGTGTACTTCTCCCGAAAATAAGGTGCATCTATACTATCTTATTTAAAAACCACTGGGGATTGCCTCAGTGGCCACCCTTCCTACGTGGGAAGGGGGAGGTGGGGAATTCAATTTCCTACCTTCTTAGGGGGAGTTAGGGGTGAGGACGTGTAGTTTCAAATATGGGTTTCGACTCCCATGCCCTGCAAGAAGCAGGGTAAAAATATGAGAGTAAATTGAGTGTTAAAGTACGACAGACGAAAAATAATTACTATCTTATTTAAAAGATCGTATGCTAGAGCTCGTAAATGCTAGTGCACATTTTTTCTTCTTTTCCGTAAGAGATTGTTAGGAACCTTCTTCGCTTACTGTTTTGATGAAAGGTCTTCGGTGTTTTCCTATTTAATAAGTCATTTGATCTTTTTAGTATGCTATTTATCCATTTTAATTTTACTTTAGTTGACATGTCGACATGATTAACAAAAATGTGCCATCTACAAATTAACTAATTTATTGCGGCCACCCTAGTTTAATTAGGCTTTTGACGTTATGGAAAGCATAACTATCTATCATAGAGAAGAAATGAAGCTAGTCAATCCACTTGCTTTGCTGTCGCGACCTACCCGAACCGATCGGATTTAGGCCAAGAGGTATTTGTCAAGGACCGAGGCACTCCCGAGCCTCATACCTCACATGACGAGAATTGTCTAATTTACATATTCGATTGGAGTCGCCACTAGCCATGATCAAGGGTCGGCTAGAAACCCTAATCGAGACTTGATTACACTAGCGATCTACTAGTGCCCTTTCGGTACCTAAACTTGATCACTCACAAACTAACGTACCGGGCAGCCTATCGCGAAAGTTAAGATTCCACATAACCATTCTAAAAATAGAAAATAACAATCAATGTATTAAAAGTGCGCAACTAGATAATCATAAAGAAAATAAACAACCAGCGACCTAGCATCGTCTCTAGAAAGGAAAAGACAATCAAAAGCCTTAAAGAAAAGCCCTAATGGCTTATTCGATTTTTGGGAATTTTTTTAAGGTTTTCTCAATTTTTACAAGTTTTAAACTAAGTCTAGAATGAGAAAAACACTAATATCTAGTGAAATTAAACCCAAAAAAGATTTCTGAACATTTCCTAATTTTCTGGATTTTTTGGAATTTTCTGAATTTTTCTGAATTTTTTTTTAATTTTTTTAATGTTTTTCAGGCTTTTTAATATTTTTTTGGATTTTTAAACATTTTCGAGTTTTTTTGGAATTTTTAATATTTTTTGAATTTTTAAATATTTTTTAATGCTTTTATTAATAAAATAAGGAGTCGGACCGGATCCCCTGACCCGATCCGCCCGACCTCTGACCCGGCATTCCAACCCGCCCGGGACCCGATTTTCATTTCTTGTTTTTTCGTGTTCTGCTTTCTTCTCTTTCTTTTTTTCATGAAAATACACAGACGCCCTTTTCTTGTCCTTTCTCACTTGTTTCTTTATTTGTGAAAGTATTGAAGGAGAGAGGAGCAGATCCCCTTGCGTTTCGAGAAGAAGAAAGGAAAAGGCTTCATTCATCATTTTTGTCTTTTTCCTTCCTTCACTCCTCTCTACTTTCTCTGTTTTTCTCTGAATTGTGGCCGAACACCCTTTTTCATTTTGGGTGTAAGTGTGGAGAGGGAGGGCGCGTGTCTGTGGGGAAGATAGCGTCCCCTTTTGTCTTCTCTCTTTTTTCCCTTTTTTTTTTGAAATTTTTATAATGATTTTTTTTACATAAAATAAAAGGAAAATATGTTTCACTAAATTCTACTAATGCAAATGCGCCTAACATCTATATGCCATGAAAATACTTTTGTTTAGGGGTTAAAAATCAATCCTTAAATTTTTTATGCGATAAAACCCTAAATGATTGAGCAAAATTTAGGTGTCAATATTTGCTTGATCAAATCAATCAACATTGTCATGGATCGATAAATGCACAAAAAGACATGTCTATTTTTCTATTGATCCAGGGAATATATAAAGTAATAATTTTTGGTATACTTATAAGCACAAAAAATGGTCCAATGCTCGAAATTTATTAAATTAAATTTTGGTAGGATCACAGCTAATTATTTTGAAAGTTTATACTCTTAGATGAAAAAGTACATTAAAATTCGAATACTCTAACACTCTCTCTCACGTGTATATTGGACTTTGGACTAAGACGAAAATGTAAAAATATACAATAGGCAAGGCAAACAGAAGTCTAGAAATATTTGGACTCCTATTTGCTACTCGGATACCATGTGAAATTTTAGTGAGACCACTGCTATTTGACTCCACCATTATATATTTCGATGCTATAGTCATAAGGCAAAGTACAACCTACACTTTAGGGAAAGTATTAGTGTATTTGAATTTTAAAGCGCGCTTTCAACTCACAACTTTACATTTTAGAATAATTGGTTGTGGTCACACAAGCTTTCAGACGTATGTTGATTAAGTACTTTGTATTGGTTGATGCAAAGATGAAAGATATTATAAATATTAGTTGAGATACCCAATATAAAATTACCACGTCACTAAGTAAACAAAATTAATAAGATTTTTTACATACATTTAACTTTGCTCGTGTTAATAATGGATTTTATGACCGCAGTACCCTTAAGATGTTATTTGATATTTAAAAAAACATATTGATTTCATATTTAATTTTTCTCATGGTGTCTGAACTTGTTATATACTCATTTTTGAATATTTTATGACTTGACAAATATGCCTTTAGGACATTTGTTTTTTTAATAATATGCCACAATGCACATTACATACTGTATTTCTCATTTCAACAAGGTTTTCCAAACTGAAATGTCCATAGATGGAACAAGAAAAATCAAAGCAAATGGATAATAACATGAATAATAATTCATATATTATAATCGATGCACATTACTTTTGTATACTGTTTGAATCACACATGTACAATAATACACAAACCACTAAACCAGTAAAGAACGATAAAGAATCACCATAATTGTTGCATCGCGCATCTCATAATCAAGGGCTCGGTGCAATGAACTGTAGCAACTCATCGTTGCGCTCGAACTCGATCATGTCATGCTGAGACAAGGTGATCCATGCTTCAATCCCATCCCCACACCTAGTTCCCATCAAAATCACCGCATTTTTCATGGGAACACTGGTGGTGCACACCCAAGCGGGCCTTCCCCAGCGAAAATCTGCCTTGTAGAACGGGAACCTTGCCCAGCTGCTGAACCTGTAGAGCTCGATCTCTCCCGCAGACGCCGCCGCCGGCTTCCGTGCCGCCATGAGGCTCTCGCAGGCCTTGGCCAATCCATTCTCTCCTTGAAGCGCACTCAAATATTTGCTATCAATTGCCCTTATTGATTTCCTGAGAATGCCTGCAAAGTCCTGCAATTCAACTTTCTCGTTTGGTTCCACGAGTGGTGCCACAATGGACTGCCACAGATTGCCCAAGGCATTCTCGGGCAATGGTTGGGGCCTTATCGTGCTTCTGATGTTCACCACATGGGTCACTGCTGATGATGGGGGATACTTCTTGCTCCAGTCCGGCCTCTTCCTCGCTGCCTCCACAGCCGATTTCCATATGAGAGCAGTCACGGCCTCAACGCGAGTAGGAATAGTGTTGAAATAGTGATCCAATTTCTAGAAGTTTCTAGCATGCTCAAGATCTTTAGAGAATAAATATTTAGATGAATAGTCTAGAAAGTTGTGAGAAATATCTAAGATATTTCTAGAAGACTAATATGATATACATAGAAAACTCTAGAAAAATATCTATGTAACATGCTCTAGATTTTTCCTTAATGGCGGTGGAAGAGGGCTATAAATAGCCAACCCCTCTCCACTTGAAGGATACGCCCATCAGAAGAAAAAACTTCGTCCCTTGTACAAGCCTTCATAATACAATACTCCTTTTGTCTTCTTTGCTCCCTACTTGTCTTCCACTATCAAAAGTTCTGTTCTATAGTTGCTCCAAGTCCACGTACCAACACTTGCACTCACTAAATCACTCACTCACAAAACAAATCACGCTTCCGCAAACACTAACAGTCGTATCAGAGCCATGTTTTTGGTTGGTATTGGGCGTTTCTCCAAACTACTCGTTCCTAAAACTACCCATTCAACCATCCAACAACTAAACTATGGCCAACTCTACATCATCCTCATTTCCCATTCCTATTTTCAATGGGAATAACTACGACTATTGGAGCATTAAAATGACTACTTTCTTTATGGCCCAAGATTTATGGGAAATTATAGAGAAGGGTTATGAGGCTCCACAAGAAGGTGCAAGCGTTCCAAAAGATCAACTACAAAAGGATGCAAGGGTACTATGTGTTATTCAGCAAGCACTCTCGAAAACAGTATTTCCGAGGATAATTGGAGCGAAGACGGCAAAGAAGGCGTGGGAAACACTATGAGAAGAATTCCAGGGATCAGAAAAGGTACGCACTATTCGGCTTCAAACTCTAAGAAGAGAATTTGAGAATTCTAAAATGAAAGTAAATGAGACCGGTCAATAATACTGTGGAAAATTAAAAGAACTAGTTAATCAAATGAGAGCCTATGCAGATGAAATCACTAATCAAAGGGTCATAGAAAAAATACTAGTGTCACTTAGTAGAAAACCTATCACCCAGCGGGGGTCTGGAGATGCAATGTATGACATTATACGAAAAGTGAGTGCAATATGTGACATTGTGCATAAGAGAATAGCACATCATATACTCTGTTGCATTTGCTAAATTTAAAGATAAAGAATTGGCTTGAGTAGATGGTGTGCCTGCATGGTCACATGAAAGTCCATCTAGGCGGGGGTTCTAAACGATACCGTGTCGCAGTTGAGGCCGAACCGATGCTCCTTATGGAATGCCGTCTGGGCGGGAGTTCCAGACGTTGCCGTGCCCAACGGAGAGGGACGATGCCCGATTATGCCGGAAGACACCGGTAGTGTGACATTCCGAATTTCGACCTATTTTTGGGGTTTATAAAACGAGTATTTCGTCGATGCGTTTATAGTTAAATCTCGCCTAGAACTGATTACTCTCGGGTTATTTTTAAAGTTGAGATTTCGCTGAAATCGCACTCGGTCGAATTTGGCTGTTATCTAGAGTCCGAACTTTGGTGTCAAATTTTTCGGAGTTTCGTGACGAATTTAATTGAACGGTGTCGATATTATTGTGGCCAGCGTCGATATTGCACGAATTGGTGAAAAGTGAAATTTGGACCGGGTGCAGATTTTGACTAGTAGACATCCCTCTTAGTGTATTTTAGTTAGTGTTTTTGGCCTTTTCCTAATTTATAAATTAGGGTTTTTCGTGGACCATCGGATCGACTTCGAGTTTGAACGTGGGCCGTTGGATCGAACTCGATTAATTTGACTTTCTCTCTCTCTCTCTCTCTTCTCTGCCGCGCACCCCCTACGCGCGCGTCCCCTCTCCCCCCAGCTACGCATGGCCCCTCTTCCCCCCATCTCCCCATGCAGACCTCTCTCTCTCTCTCCTCCTTTCTTTTTCTTCTTCTTTCTTTTTTCTTCTTTTCTTCTTCTTCCTTCTTCTTCTTCCTCCTTCCCCTTCGCCGCTGCACCTGCTTCTTCTTCTTCTGCTCATCCACCATCGCCTCGCGACCGCCCGTCACTGGTCCGCCCAAGCCACCCGCGAGTACTGCCCTTCCGCCCGGGCCAGTCGCCACCGCCGTGCGCCGGCGTTGCTGCGCTTTCAACCGTCGCACTTCGTTCACAGGGCCGCCGTTCGACCGGCGCTACTACCCCCGGCCGCTCGCCAGCTCGCCTAGCAACTCGCTGCCGCGGGTCATGCTCAGCAGCTGCTCGTCCGTCGCATCGTCGTCGCTAGCTCATCAGGACCAGCCTAGCCACCGCGACCGTCCACCCTAGCCACCGCGAGTCTCACCAACCTTGCTGTGTGCGGGCTGAGCTCTCGACAACTTAGCCCGCCACCAGCCGCCGCTGTGCACGTTGCTTGACCGAGTCTTCTGCTACCCAACTCGTTGTCGCCTGCTCGCCCGTTGCCGCTGCCGTCGCTCATCGTCGTCGCCGCATGCCTGGCCGCTTGCCGATCATCTGCCCAGGCCGTGGCCGAGCTCGCCTAGCCCGCTGCCCAGGCCCTGGTTGAGCTCGCTTGGCCACTGCCCCGGCCGTGGTCGAGCTCGCCTGGCCACTGCCCCGGCCGTGGCCGAGCAGACCAGCCGCTGCCCTTGCCCATACCGAGTGCCGAGCCCTTTGTCCGCGCGCCTGGCCGTTGTCCCGGCCATGGTCGAGCTCGCCCATCGTGCCCAGCCGCTTGCCCGCACGCCTGGCTGCTCGCCCGGCTATGGCCGAGAGTCCCGAGCCGTGGCCGAGGGCTGTGCCGTGGCCAAGGGCTGTGCCGGCCATTGCTTGCCCGCTGTGCCCTCACCCGCGCTGAGCCCGCTGCTGCCCCGACCGACCATTTGAGCCCCTTGCCGATTTTCCTTAGGCCAAAACCTAGGTAAGTGACTCCCTAAACCCTACTTAGTACTTTGGATATTATTAGACTTGTTTAGGAGTGATTAGTGTTGGTTTAGTAACTAAGTTAGGTATGGATTTAGTTAATTGAATGTGATTGGTTTATGGATTATTGTGGTGGTGATTTTGTGGCTAAATTAGTGATCGATCGAGATGGATTCAATGACTGAATTGTAATGGCGTTTGTGGGTGAAATTGGTGTTTGAATGTGACCGACCGGAAGGTCAGGTTGGTGGGCTAATGTGGTGAGCATGACTTGATTTGAATAGTATGACGTGTTAGATTGGTATTGGCGAATTGTGTTGTGGCGTATGTGCATGAGGAATGTCCTGAGGCGTGGTTACGCGGGACTAAGCTCGAATTGATCGGAGGGCTGCCAACCTGAGGCGAGGTTACACGGGTATGGCTAGAAAGGCAAGAAATGACCTGAGGCGAGGTTACACGGGTATGGCTAGAAAGGCAAGAAATGACCTGAGGCGTGGTTACGCGGGTCGAGAGAAATGTCCTGAGCCGTGGTTATGCGGGACCAAGCCCAGATTGATCGGAGAGTTGCCAACCTGAGGCGTGGTTATGCAGGTATGGCAAAAAAGGCAAGAAATGACCTGAGGCGTGGTTATGCGGGTCGAGAGATATGTCCTAAGGCGTGGTTATGCGGGATTGAGTCCGGATTGATCGGAGGGCTGGACCTGATGCGTGTTGACGCGGGTCATGGTTTGTTGGTTGGACACGCATGCGAAATGTGTTTGGTTGAATTGGGTGAATATGCGTGGTTGTGGCGCTCGAGTATTTATGTTATGTTCTTGAACTATTATTACATTATTGTGATTTGACTAATGCGCGGACTTGACATGTGATTTGAGGCGAGGTAAGTGTGCTTGAGAATTCTATTATGACAATTGCTAGATTGCATGTTGGGACTCGTTTGGGTACGCATTGGTCTAGGTGGGGTTTAGGTTGTCTGCTTATTGAGATTTATTCTCATTGCTGTAATGCAAACCATTTCAGAGCCCCGACCCCGACCTTGATCATGCAGCCACCTCGGCATTTTGGGGTCCCTATGCATACGGTGCATGAGGAGACCGAGTATCCAGTAGGTCCACATCAAACTTACATTAGGCACCTCACTATAGTCTGGGTAGATATAGGCTTAGAGGACTTGCGGCGTCACACTTACTTGGCCTGGTTTTATCGAGACGGGTTGGAGTTAGTTGGCACAATCCGGGATTTTGAGGGACAGCAGCACGACATTGAGGATGCCGTGGATTGGGAGCCCGGGGATGTGTACGCTCCTGACGGTGAGATTCTGGACCTCGAAGATTCCTCGGAGAACCCTGGTCCCAAACCCGAGCCCGTACCAGAACCCGTAGCGCCTGCGGATCTCGAGCTCGAAGAGGAATTTGAAGAGCCCGAACCTGTGCCAAAGCCCATGGAGTCTGAGCCCGAGGAGGAGCTGGGTAATGAGGAAGAGCCGATCGAGATCAACTCTGACACGGAGTCGGAGTCTTCAGGGTCTGATTCATATTGGGCACCGAAGAAGTGTTTGGGTACTGGGTTTAGAAGCTTTTTGGTAGAGCCCTTTTTGTGCAGCTAGCTAACCTACCCTATCACCTATCCCTTTTTGATGATAATGGTGGATGTTAACCCTGGGATCCTAGTATCTGATTGTCTGACCGAATGTTGTAAGTGATTGTTTTCCATTGTTATGAAATTATTATTTTGTGCTCCTAACGGTGAGATTCTGGACCCCGAAGATTCCTTGGAGAACCCTGGTCCCGAATCCGAGCCTGTACCAGAACCCGTAGCGCCTGCAGATCTCGAGCTCGAAGAGAAATTTGAAGAGCCCGAGCCTGTGCCAGAGCCCATGGAGTCCGAACCCGAGGATGAGCCGAGTAATAAGGAAGAGCCGATCAAGATCAACTCTGACACGGAGTCGGAGTCTTCAGGGTCTGATTCAGATTGGGCACCGTAGAAGTGTTTGGGTGCTGGGTTTAGAAGCTTTTTGGTGGAGCCCTTTTTGTGCAGCTAGCTAACCTACCCTACCACCTGTCCCTTTTTGATGATAATGGTGGATGTTAACCCTAGGAGACTAGTGTCTGATTGTCTGACCGAATGTTGTAAGTGACTGTTTTCCATTGTTATGAAATTATTGTTTTGTGCTATTACTATCCCTTCGTCATTGTTTATTGTCTGGGTTGTTATATTTCACTTCTGCTTGCGTATGCTTGTGGGTGTCTCATTTTGGTCGGCGATGTGTCCTGGGACGTCGCGTTTGATACGACCGTCGTAGGGGTGTCGCGAGCCCATTGAGGTTTGAGGTGTGACATCCTTGTTGATTTGGTATCAGAGCAAGGTCAGCTCGATCCAAGTTGGTCGAAGCCTTGAGTGATAAGGAGCGATGACTTTGGGGTAGCCAGTTAGGGAGACTCGTGTGCCATGCGTATCCCAGATTATGGGATTGTGGTTGCTGAGTGATCTTATGCAATAATGTGTGAAGTGCAAGTGTGTCAGGACTTAAGGTAAGTGCACGAATAATGTTGGCTATGATTGAGTGATGTATGTGATTGCTTGCCTACTTAGTGAATTGTTATTGCGATTCACTGCCTAGGACTTTAGACTGGTATAATTGGCCTAGGTCTCTAATTCCTAAGTGGAATTATAGCAGGTAGGCGAGTGTGAGATCCTGTGAGAATGAGTAGGCGAGGTCAAGGTAGAGGTCAAGGTCATGTGGCCCCACAAGCTAGAGTTGCAGAGGATCCTCGGGTGGATGGAATTTTGAGGGCACTACAAGAATTCGGGATTTTAATGGGTAGACAGACTGAAGAACGGAATGCTACTGTCGCTGTTGCTGCCGAGGCCACTGTTGCCACCGCCAACAGGGCCAATGGAAATAATATAAACAATGGAAACAATGGGAACAATGGGAATGGTAGGCACCCCACTTAGGGCCAAGTAAATGCGAACATGCCGATGTCTAAGCTGGTTGAGCAGTTTTTGAAGCTAAAGCCTCCAAGGTTCGATGGTAGAGGTAATACTGAGGCTGCACCTCGATGGGTGGAAGAGCTAGAAAAAGCTTTCGAAGTGCTGGGATGCACTGAAGAGGAAAAAGTAACCCTAGCAGTATACGAGCTTCAGGAAAATGCAAGCGACTGGTGGAGAGCCATAAGAGGCCAAGTGTTCTCTGCTGGTACTGCTCCGACTTGGACCATTTTTACTGATACTTTTAATGGCAAGTATTTCTCGAAAAGTGCCCGAGAGCAGAAGTTGGTAGAATTCATGAGACTTCGCTAGGGTCAGATGTCGGTAGACCAATATGAGGCCGAGTTCGCAAGGCTGTCCAAGTTTGCCTTAGGAATGGTAAAGGACCCAGTGGACAAAGCCAGGAGGTTCCGAGATGGACTGAAGCCGGACCTCCGTAGTCAGATGATCTCATTGAACTTGAGGGGCTATCATGAGATTTATGACCGGGCTCAAGCAATTGAGCGTGATTTGATGGATCGAGTTGCCGCCTCTGGATCGCGGCAGGCCCCGGCTTGGGACAACCGTTGTTTTGGGAAGAGACCTATGACGGGAAATAATCATTTTGTTCCCCCCACTCAAAGAAATATCGGGAAGCCGAATAGCTTTCAGAGCGCCCCGTGTAGGTTATGTGGAGGGAGACATGAGAATGGACCTTGCCCAAATAGGGGCAGATCGTGTTTTAAATATGGCGGAAGGGGCCATCAGATGAGGGACTGCCCCAACAATAGGCAGGCTAGGTTGCATGCACTACTACCATCGCCGCCCCAGAATGGAAATCAATTTGGAGCTATCCCGCCGGCCAATCAGAATAGGCCACCGGCCCAAGGACGAGTGTATGCAATGGTGAGGAGGGAAGCTGAGGACGAGCCTGGCGTGGTCACAGGTACGGTCTCTCTATGTGATCATGCTGCATATGCTTTATTTGATCCGGGGGCGTTGCACTCATTTATATCTGAGCAATTTGTTAAATTGTCTGGAATTGAGCCGAAACCGCTTGAAGTTATGCTGTGTGTGACTACTCCGTTGAATGATAAAGTACCGGTTGCGTTTGGATGCCCTGATTGTAAGATAGTGATTGGTGATAGGAAAGAAATGA